GGCGCCGAGCCTCATTTGGAGTTTCTTAAGCTTTTTAATCTATATGTCCATCTCTTTCTTCAGATTCAAGAGGGTTTTGACTATTCTTCAGATAGCCTCTGTGCCCCTTTCTTTTTTCTTCTCTTTCTATGATTTCCATTATTCAGATATTTGTTCACTTGATAGCTCCTAAGTTCCTTAGCCTCTCTTGCCTTTTTATTTGTTTGTTTTTGGTGTTTTGTTGTTTTTTAGATTTTGGTTTTGGAAGGGACAGAGTCTCACTCTATTGCTCAAGCTGGATTATAGTGTATAGTAGCATGATTGTAGCTCACTGTAATCTGGAACTCCTAGGCTTAACCATTCCTCCTACTCTGGCCTCAAGTAGCTAAAACTATAGGCACACACCATACCCCAGTTAATTTTCTTTTTAATTTTTGCAGAGACAAGATCTTACTATGTTGCCAGACGGGTCTTGAATTCCCAGCCTCAAGCAATCCTTCTGCTTCAACCTCCCAAAGTACTGGAATTACAGAAATAAGCCACACTGTATCTAGCATCATTCTTTTTTCTTTTTCTTTGTGTGTATGTGTGAGTGTGTATGATGACTTGATAATTTCAAATGACCTAACTTCGGGTTTATTGATTATTTCTTCTTCCTGATCAAGCCAGCTGTTAAATCCTTCTGAATAATTTTTATGTTCTATTATTATATTTTTAAGCTTCAGAATTTCTGTTCAATTCTTTTTTAATCATTTCTGACTCTGTTTTTTACATTTTGTTCATACATTATTTTCCTGACTTCATTTACTTCTCATTTAGCTCATTGAGCATCTTTACAGCAATTTTAAATCCTTGTCAAGGCGCTCATAGAACTGTGTTTCATTAGGGTCAGTTTTCAGAACTTTGTTATATTCCTTTGAGGCATGTTTCATGAACCATTTTCTTTGTATGCCTAGTGATGGGGGTGTGGCATTTGACAAAACTTCCACTTCTAGTCTTTGCATACTTCACACAGTGGAAGACACTCACTAGTCAGCCTAGTTAAAGGTTCTAGGACGTCTCAAACCTTTTTTGATTTGTTTCTTTCTTTGTTTGTTTTTGTTTTTGTTTTTTTTTCTGATTTTTTGATCCCTCTGGTGTCTACCTACAAAATTGCTAACATACCGTTTGTCTCTGTTTTTAGCAACTTCTAGCTCTGGTGTTGATCTTATCAATGTTTTGAGTCAGTGGGTGACACAAAAAAATCAGTTTTTCAGGAAGCCCCCAGACAAGCTAAAATGGATGCGTGATCCAGTCTTTTGTTTCTATCCCATGGCAGGAGCCCAGTCTGTGGGGTTTCTTCTCATTTGCTCTTTGCTATGCCATGATGAGCCAAACACTATGAATTTTCTTAACCCTTTCGCTAGAACCCCTTCTTCATTTACAATGACCTTGATATTATAATTTCTCAGCTGATCCCCAGAGTTCTCATGGAAGTGTTCTGGTCCATCTGTATTTGTTAACTTGAGGTATCTGTGGAAGGGGGAGAAGGACCTGTGGCTTGCTAGTGGACCACCTTACTGGCCTCACTCTCCCTTTCCCTTGTGCCTTTAGTAAGAGGAAGGAAAACTTTCTTCCTATAGTCACTCTCCAGACTTCTCCTATGTTACTGGCCAGATCTGCCTCGTGGACCCACTTTCAACGAATTGCTGCAAGGGAGTGGATTTACCATGGTTTGGCTTATGTTAATCAACATTCATGAACTGAGGTTGATGAGAGACCTGGCCTCTCCTAAAACCCATCACCATGAGATACTTTACATTCATAAGACAAAAGCAAAAAGCCATACTTTCTATTCATAAGACAAGGGCTCTTGGAAGACAACTATTGTGTCTATCTTAAGCAGTAAATTGTTTGTCTCTTTTAGAGCTGAAGAGATTCCTCTGAAAATTTTGGCCCATAATGGATTGGTTGGAAGACTGATTGGAAAAGAAGGCAGAAATTTGAAGAAAATTGAACATGAAACAGGAACCAAGATAACAATCTCATCGTAAGCCACCTATTTAGATTAATTGTGTCCAGTCATGGAGAATTTGGGTATTTTGATATGCTTAAATCATGCATCTCATTTTCCCTAAAATGGGAATATAATCATAAGTGATGTCATTATTTCCATCAAATACATAGTTACCAATTAGACATCACTAGTAGGATTTGAAATAAGATGTCACGGATTCAGGCAGCACCTGTGGCTCAAAGGAGTAGGGCACCGGCCCCATATGCCAGAGGGGGCGGGTTCAAACCTAGCCCCAGCCAAAAACTGCAACAACAACCACCAAAAAAAAAAAGATGTCACGGATTCTACACTATGGTATGTTATGAGGATATCAGTCTTGTTCTCCACTACCAAGACTTGTTTGTAGTTTTTCCGGACTTTTATTTTTTCTCTTTAAAAAAGGAAATTTCAGGCTCAGCACCTGTGGCTCAAGTGGCTAAGGCGCCAGCCACATACACCTAAGGTGTCGGGTTCGAATCCAGCCCAGGACCGCCAAACAACGATGGCTGCAACCAAAAAATAGCTGGGCGTTGTGGTGGGCAACTGTGGTCCCAGCTACTTGAGAGGCAGAGGCAGGAGACTCACTTGAGCCCAGGAGTTGGAGGTTGCTGTGAGCTGTGACACCATGGCACTCTACCCAGGGGGACAACTTGAGGCTCTGTCTCAAAAAAAAAAAAAAAAAGGAAATTTCAGCTGGGCGCAGTGGTTCATGCCTATAATCCTAGCACTCTTGGAGGCCGAGGAGGATGGGTTGCCTGAGCTCACAGGTTCAAGACCAGCCTGAGCCAGAACAAGACCCTCGTCTCTAAAAATAGCCAGGCATTGTGGCAGATGCCTATAGTCCCAGCTACTTGGGAGGCTGAGGCAGAGAATCACTTGAGCCCAAGAGTTTGAGGTTGCTGTGAGCTATGATGCCACAGTAGTGTATCAAGGGCAACAAAGTGAGACTCTGTCTTAAAAAAAAAAAAGGAAATTTCAGCCAGGCATGGGGGCTTATGCCTATGAGCCTAACACTTTGGCAGGCTGAGGTGGTGGAGGATGGCTTGAGATTAGGACTTTGAGACTAGCCTAAGCAGCATAGCAAGACCCCATCTCTACAAAATGTAAAAAAAAAAAGGCATGGTGGCACACACCTGTAGTCCCAGCTACTTGGGAGACAAAGGCTTGAGGATCACTTGAGCCCAGGAGTTTGACATCACAGTGAGCTAGGCTGATGCCACTGCACTATAAGACAGGTAAGAGATCAAGACCCTATCAAAAAAAAGGAAATGTTTCTCTTTTTCCCATTGGTCAGTTTACAGGATTTGAGCATATATAACCCTGAAAGAACCATCACTGTGAAAGGCACAGTTGAGGCCTGTGCCAATGCCGAGATAGAGATTATGAAGAAACTTCGTGAGGCCTTTGAAAATGATATGCTGGCTGTTAACGTAAGTTCCTCATGCTTTCTTCTCTACTGTTTTTCACATGTGTTTTCAGGCAGAGCCCAAGCCTGTCTAAAAATGATTGTCATTCATCTAATTAGGAAGTGCCTTAGGGATAGATATCCAGAGTTTATACTGACTGCTAAGGAGTAGGGAATTAAAATAATCAGGAAACCAACTAGCAAATGATAAATACCCTGGAAGCCATTAAAATTATGACTTTGAAGACTGCAAAATGAGTAAAAGCTTATGATATAATTTATTTAGAAAAGGAAGATATAAAAGTTATAAGTAGGGTTACAGTTATGTAAAATAAAATGATCAGAATGATTGGAAGGCTGCACACAAAAATAAAAATAGACCCTATGTAAGGAAAGTGGGATTTTCTACTTTCTAAACTTTCTATAATATTGTCATGTTTATTTTAAAATTTTAAAAACACATATTTTAAAATTACTTTTGGGCTGAGCTCCCATAGTTCAGTGGTTAGGGCACCAGCCACATGCACCACGTCTGGTGGGTTTGAACCCTGTCTGGCCTGCTAAACAACAAAAAACAATAGCCAAGCATTGTGGCAAATGCTGATAGTCCCAGCTACTCGGGAGGCTGAGGGAAGAGAATCACTTGAGGCCAGGAGTTTGAAGTTGCTGTGAGCTATGGCATCACGGCACTCTACCAAGGGTGACAAAGTGAGACTCTGTCTCAATAAAAAATAATAATAATAATAATAATAAATTACTTCTGATTTTTTTATCCTTTGCTTGCTTGATTTATACTTTCAGATTGCCCCGTAAATGTTGTCAACTATCTGAGCTCTCGCTGAAACTTCTAGCAAACTGATTTGGGTTGGTTCTTCCTGTTACTGCCACCTAGTTCTCACTTGATAATAAGGAGTCAAAAAATTCTTTAAAATATTTGGTTACCATCAAAACCCAAGCTCGATATAAGGAGATACCAGTCTGACATTCAAAAAATTCTTTAAAATATTTGGTTACCATCAAAACCCAAGCTCAGCCCAGAAGAGGAACTTTTTTCACTATTTTGTTATAATTTTCTAACATACAGAGAAATGAAAAGGATGCTCTGACAAACCCATATATGCCTATAATCCAACTTCAGCAGGTACCAGTTTATGGCCTTTGTTGTTTCACTTGAACCCTTGTCCACATCCATGTTCCATTCCTGTTGGATGACCTTGAAGCAATTCTCAGACCTAGTAACCTTTCTTAAAGAAGTGTTGACAAAGAGCTCTGTAGGTTAAACCCCTGTTCTGTCACCATAGCACTTTCCATAGTATCCTTTGCTCAGGTCAGTAATCTGTCCATGCCAGCTCCAGCTTAGCAGCCCACAACACATGATAATTAGGAGACGTGATGAAAAGAAGGGGAGCTGCAATCTGCAGTGTGGCCCTCTCATGTTCAGACATATTTGTCTGTTGAGATATCGTCCATTTGTCTATAGAGGTGTCATCCTGTGATCTTCATATCTCCTTGTGGGTTCTTGACATCTCATGGAAAACATCTCTTTCTGTGAACAGCTGGAAAAACTACAAAAGGGTCTGGGTGACCCGAACATCTTCACCTGAACATGCTACTTAGATCCATTCATGTCTGTACCAAATTCATGCACTGATTGGCAAATATCAGAATTACTGGATCTTATATATCAAATGAGGTAAAGGTGAAGGATCCCAGCTCTACTTTTCCAAACATTCTAAAACAGGGATATCCTCCAATCTGTGGCCCCATCATGGGCTGCCTGCTGATTTTGTGAAGCCATTTTTTGCTTATCTGTGGTGTGGGATAGCACAAAAACTGCAGGGACCTTTTCCTACTATCAGTTTTCCTTAGTGTTTGGGTATTTAATGTATGGGCCAAGACAACTCTCACTCTGTTTCAGTGTGTGACAGAGAAAAAAAGTTGGACACCCTAGTAAAGAAGGCAATTTACTAGGTGGCTAGAGCCACAGACAAGAAAATAGAAAATGTTAGAAAACTGCTTCATGTTCAGGGAGTCAAAGATGGGGGGAGGTTGGACAGGCAGGAATAGGTTACCAAATTCCTCTTCCTCTGAAGGGACGTGTAGTTAAAACTCATCCCCAGCCTGTGGGCATACTCAGGTAGGAATGTACAATAAACAAACAAGTGAGATCACAGAGCTGGCAACTAAGTAATGAAGAGACAAAGCTGTGAACAGTCCTGACCCTGGATAATGGAATTTACACATGTGGTATCCTAATGAAGGGTCTGAGCTTTCTCCGAACAGGCTTAGAAAAAAATATTAGTCCAATTTGTTTTAAATATATTCATTCAATAAATATTTGTTGACTACTTACTACCTACCAGGCACTGAGAACACAACACTAAGTAAGACAGTGTCTTACTCTACAAGGAAACTAATGGTCTAAAAGGGAAAAAAGCAATTAAACAGAGATTCAGATACCCTGTAATGTGTGCTGTTTTAGAGAAACACAGGAAAGTTAGGAGAGCACGGAATGAGCATTTGAGCTAAGACGTTTGGGGTGAGAGAAAGCTTCCTGCATGAGGGGACACCTAAGCTCAGATGAAACCCACAGGTGAGTAGGATTGAGAAAAGCACTTTCTTACAGGGAAGGCAAGATGTGTAGGGACCCAGAGGTGAGAGAGAGCATGTGGGGTGTTTAGGGAGTAAGATTGGACAGGGTGAGGATAAGGGATTAGTAGGAGCAGGCTGGCAAGGTATCCTCCGTCCCTGCCATGATAAGATTTAGACATTCCCAAGGGTGGCAGAGAAGCTTTGAAGGTCAGGTTGCTGTTTGGCACCCACCCCAATGCAGGGTGTGGAATTGGTCCATGGGGCCAGGGCATTGCTTGTTAAGAAACGCTGGTGCCATCCAGATAAGAGATGGAGGTTGACCCAGGAGAGCTGGGCCTCTCTGCTCTCCTCCCCTCATTTTTTTCTCCATTTCTGTTCCCAGCAACAAGCCAATCTGATCCCAGGGTTGAACCTCAGCGCACTTGGCATCTTTTCAACAGGACTTTCCGTGCTGCCTCCACCATCAGGGCCCCGCGGAGCTCCCCCCGCTGCCCCCTACCACCCCTTCGCTGTAAGTAGCTTAGCAGTCAGAGGTTGCTTTTGTGCTGGGCACCTCCAGGCAGCAGCATCACTGTGCTATGTTGAATCAGAACTGAAGCCTTCATTGAATACAGATGAATCCAATGTAGGACGAACCCAGCTTTTCTTAGGCCTGCTTCCTAAAGAGCAAATTTATATTAACCATCCTCTAAACTTGCTCTTAAAGCATAGTATATGTCATATCTAGGAAAGAAAGAAACTATTAGCAAATTCATAACTAGAAACCTATTTATTGTGAAAGAGGATCCATTAGCTCAAAAAGTACATTCATGAATACTGGTTGTTTAGTAAAATTAGGGTATGACGTGATTCTTAGGTATATATACAATTCCTGACTACAATTCAAATATACGTAATGTTTGTGTCTAAACATTAGCACAGTGCCTGGTATTTAGTAGGTTCTCAGTAAGTATTTATCATTTGAATCATACTTCAAAACAAAAGAGGAATGTGGATTTTATGAGTTTTCTACTAGATGATTTCATTCACAAATATTATTCAAGATTAATACATTGCCAAATTGGGGTTCAGGATACTTGACAGCTTTTTGTAATTCCTTAATTGTCTCTACACAATATTGCTGTTTGTAAAGTAGATTTTCTTTCCTCCAATGTTTGTAGTGTTTAAATGGAGGGAATCAGGTGGCTGAACATTACCTTAGCCATTTCTTTCTTTTGAGAGCTGGTTTCTGGTGTAGGCAGCATGTTGTATGAATTCCCAGTGGCTTTTTGGGTTGTCTGTAGAGAGACAGGACAATGCCACTGTGTTGCTCTGCCCAGCAGCTGGCACCCACATGTACACACACATTCTGCAGTCTAATTACCTGTAGATCTTCTGAGTTGTTTCTCAACCTCTCCATGCCATCTCTTTAGTGATATCCATTTTCCCTTAAACTAAGAGAGAGAGCCTGGCACTGGGCCGTGTGTGTGCACATGCACACAGTAAAGTAAGCTGAAGGTGTAGCAAGAAGGATTATGGCAGCTCTCAGTTTTGTGGCTACTTCAGGCAGCAAGAAGGCCTTTGAGAGTAGCACAACCCCAAATTCTTGCTGTCAGATTTGAGAATGACAGTTTAGTACAATTAAATGACATTGAAGCACACTTCATTTCTTGAGAAACAAGTCTGTGCAGGTTGCCTTTCAAAAGCCAGGCTACCCTCTCAACGTGGGTCACATGTGAATAATGGGGGAAGGGAATAGTAGACCACTTCTAAAGTTGAACACCTAAAATAGGCATCAGCATACTGTGTGGCCTGAGTGCCAGATCTAGCCCACCACTTACAGGTTTTATCAGGACACAGGCCTGGTCATCACTGACATACTGCCTGTTATTCCTGCTTTCCCGCTGTAGCAGCAGGCTAGACAGACGCAGTAGAAACCAAGAGACCAAAGACCCATGAAACCAAAAATATTTATTATTTGGCCCTTCCACAAAAAGCTTACTGACCCCTATACTAAAAGAAGAGAAGTTTTCCTGTGATAGCAGAATGTTTTCTAAACTTAAAAATAGGTTTTGCCAGTTGAAAAGCTTCCTTTACATCTGAGATTTTTACTGAAACAGAATAACCATTTTACTAAAATATGTAATTCCTGTTCTTTATAAAATAGGGGTTGTGTGTATGTATGTTTGTTTGTTTATTTGTTTGGAGACAGTCTTATTCAGTCACCCCAACTAAAGTGGAATGGCAATCATCATAGCTCACAGCAACCTCAAACTCCTGAGCTCAAGCAATCTTTTTCCCTCAGCCTCCTGAGTGGCTGGGACTATAGTTGCATGCCACTATGCCCCCCTACTGTTTTCTATTTTTAGTTGAGAAGGGGTCTCACTCTTACTCAGGCTGGTCTAGAACTCCTGACCTCAAGCAGTCCTTTTACCTCAGCCTCCCAAAGTGCTA